CTAACAGCTAGTCCAGTGAGCTAACAGCTAGTCCACAGAGCTAACAGCTAGTCCACAGAGCTAATAGCTAGTGCACAGAGCTAACAGCTAGTCCAATGAGTTAAAAGGTGAACTTGGCAAGCTGATTAAATTGCTAACCTGCAGTTAGCTTGTTGCACTAGCTGTTCACACATCAGGCTATTATATTAGCTCACCATTAGCAGTTAGCTCTCCAAACAAGCAGTTAAAATCATCAGGCCAGCCATTAGCTTACTGGGCTAGCCATGAGCTCACCAGACTAGCTGTTAGCTTCTCAAACTAGCCATTAGTTCAATGGACTAGCAGGTAGCACGTTAGAGAATCAGTCATCAGGCTACTATTAAATTAGCTTGCTGGGCTCGTCTTTAGCTATTTACTGCTCAGAGGGCCACAGTTTCTGCTCAGAGGGCCACAGTTTCTGAAAGTCAGCAGATCAGGGACAGGACATCTAGCAATTATGCAAATAAAGTATTACAATGATCTGTTTACCTTTTAAATTTGTTTTTATTGTATTTAATCATAAATGCAATAAACAGAACCCAAAACCCAAACCCCTCCAAAAATATGTTTATCTTTTATGAACTCATTGGTGGTCCAGACTGAAGTCAGCTAGGGCCGAAAGTGGCCCGCGGGCCACCAGTTGAATAGCTCATAGAGTTAACCAAAAACCAAGTGATCGGTATCGTCTTAAAACAAAAATTACTCAGCAGTTCATGATAAACTTTAGACCTGTCAGTTTTACATTACATCATTACATCCACAGACTTTTATGTTTACAAGCTCAAATATGGGTAGCAGCAGCTAGCTGAGCTTGTCTGGTTCCCATAAATGCATTTTGGTCTTTGACTCAAAGTAGTATTTAGCTTATAAATCCAGCAAAAAATTAAACTATTTCTCTAAATGGGTCATTGAAAGAGTTGTCTGCATCAAGTAAGTTATAAGTTCAGAACTTTTCCACAGAGCCCCACTGAAAAAGATCTGAACCGTCTCGTTAAAAAGAAAAAAAAAACTTGAGGGCTTGTTAGACCCTTTTACAAATGGAGAACTACAACTTCCACGTGAGTCTTGAGAGTAGACGACTACAAATCCCATGCAACAACAGCAGGTACATAGCAATATGATTCTTGCTACTGGTGCTGCAGTAGCTCTACCGTAACGAGCAATAATAACTATGTACAGTAAAGCATTGGGTTTCTGAGATCTCTCCAAGATGTTCTGTGTATATATGGTACAGTTTGAGATTTCATTGAACCCCCCTCCCCCCTGCCAACTGTTAACCCTTGAATTGAGTTTGTATGGTTATCAATGCTCCTTTTGAATGGCATCCTTTTACACTCAAGAGTCTAATATAAATAAAAATAACTTCAATAACCCAACAGCTGTTGTCGTTTGTACAGTGTCACAAAATGCTGTGGAATAAATTCATACTTAAGCAAGTCAAAGTTTATTATAAATAAGCATCAACATGGTGAACCTTTACGCTTCAGGCTCAGTCACTAGTGTACATCAGAGACGATGCTCCTACTCTTGGATATGCATAGTTTCAACAGGTGAGACAAAAAGACAAACATAAATTCAGCATAGTCACAAAATCACTGTTTTTGCTTGTGTGGAATACTAAACATTCTTGCATATATAATTTTTTTTACATAAAATGAGCTTTTATAACTTCCATCGCAGCAGCAGAGCTGTGATTTAACAGGTAATCCATCACGGTGAGCATGAGCCTTTAGTCTCGTTCCCGACTGTTCAGATTCATCTGAAACGCAACGCTAAAAGAAAAAAAAAGAAAAAGCCAAAATGTTCATTTTGATGTATTACGGGTTCAGAAATCCCCAACGACATTTCAAACGCTACATTAAACAAACAAAAAAAATTTTTTAGGTCAAAAATAAATAAATAAAAATAAAATAAAGGAAAACATCTGGAGTTACAGTCTGTACTATGAAGCAGGTTTTAAATCTCATCTGTGTTTAATTTTTAAACATTTTAACAGAGGAACCAAAGTAGACTTAAGTCTTCCAACTTGGCTTGTTGGCACTAAAATATTTGAATCTAAGACTAATTTTTGACTAAATGAACAGGGTACACACTGAATATTCAGAAATCTTCATTGAATCAGACAACTGGTTTCATTCTTTCCAGGCATAACGCTCAATGAACCAAAGACAAACTAGTGCTGTATTTTTCAGACTATAAAAGTCGCATTAAGTGAAACCAGTTCATTTTGACAGATTTGAGCTCCGTGTGCCACATAAAATCAGTTCGAGGTCAGTAAACACAACTAGAATTAATACATAAAGGCGCACCGGATTATAAGGCTCACTGTCGATATTTGAGAAAAATTTAAGGATTTTAAGTGCGCCTTATAGTCCGAAAAATACGGTAAATGTTTTCAAGCCGGTGTCTGTAGTTTAATCTGCTGTAACCTCAAAGAGAGAATAAAATCAGAAGGAAGCTTCCAGGAAGTTGTAGGTTGATCCAGCTGTCAAACATTTTCAAACGTTGGTGCAGAAAATGCAGATGTTTAGTGAGCTGCTGCTAGACAACAAGGAAACTGCAAGAAAACTTTTGTCTAGTTTCGATTTGGGGAAAAAAAACAACTCCTGCTTATTTTGGGATGGGTTTTTTTCCCAACTGTAAATGCTCGAAAGTGAAAGCACGAGACGAAGAAACACTTTATCGGCTCTTCAAAGTGCTTTTTTCTTTCGTTTTCTTTTCTGATGAGCTCTGTGCATGAACGAGTTGCCTACTGACCAAAACAATAAGTGTTAAATCACCACAGAAATGCACCCCAACAGGAGACGAACCACCTTATGAAACTGGCTGTGCAGGGTAAGAACGTGAATCTGCTTGGTATTGCAGACCTCGGGTGTTGTGGTGTCTGAACGAGCACCAACAAGACACTTCCAGCTCAAACTGTCGCTCTGCCGTGCATAGAAAGTTAACCACAAACAGGGAAACAGTGCAGCTCCTTGACCAACGTGTGGTTTTATGATTATTAGTGTTCACAATGACCCAAAACTGGAGCAAACTGTTTTTATCTTAATACACCAGTAATGGGACTACAGCTGTGACCAGTTCAGGCTTTTTCCACAACTTAAGTGTTGTCAAACCAGCCCATAATTTCCTGTCGGCTTCAGTGCTCCTCCTCGACATTAAGGTACCCAGAGAAGGATGGACAGTGGAGGTAAACGAAGCTTTAACAGCGATGACAATCTTCATTTCAAGAGTCGGCGTCATCCTCTGCTCCTCTTTGGAATTTCCTGAATAATAAAATGTACTCGAGTGCATTCCCTGAAGTAATTTCTGAAGTTTTTGTTTTGTTTTTAAGTCAAGTCTGTCATTTTTCCAGAGGAGTTGTGTTCTTTACACACACAAAAAAAAAAGGCGTCACTCCTTGTCAGAGTTGAGCCACGAACCGTCCTCCTCCACCTCCCGTCGGACCACCAGGAGCATCTCTGCCACGTCCTGAGAAAGCTGCTCGCCGAGAAACGTCCTGCGAGGGAGAACAAAGACGAGGTTTACAGAGGGACCTAAGACGAGACGTCCGTGTCCAGAGGCAAACAAAAAGAATGAAGTAACCCCCACGTGACCGCTCGTGTGGGGATGACTCACTCTCTGAGGCAAGGGTCGTGATGTGATCAACATGTCTGCTGGAGGAGTCACTGCACATTCCTACCGTAGCTCCGCCTCTCCCCCGATGCACACGGGATTCTTCAGCTTGGAGTCCAGGTTGTAGTACTGGCCGTTCACCTGCCGAACTGCGAGCCAGTGGCGCCGCCGGAGCGGGAGGGACAAGATGCCCAAAGATACTCGTGAGGGGACGTTAAGAATGAAGCCCTGGACCTTGGACATGCACAGGTTCTGGACCGTCCTGTTGTTTTAAAAAGGACAGAAATATCAAAGAAAATCTTCTGCTCTTTAGACGGGTCAGAGCAGGAATGCGCTGATACCAAGTTGTTTTTTTAAACTAAGCACAAGTAAAGCAAGGTATTTGCCAATACCTTGTACTGATACAAGTACTACAAAATGCCACTACAGTAAAACCAGAGGAGCTTCTTTTTTGTATCAACTCATTAAACTGAGCTGGGACAGCAGGGCTTTTCTAAAAGTGAACAGTGAGACTGTGGGGAAGCTCATGCTCAGACCTGTATATTCCCAGTATTCCCACTACTATTAAACGCTGTTTTCTTATATAGGTTTGATGGAACTGCTTGTGTCGCAGGTATAAAACTTCGTCCCTCCCGTTGATAACGTGATTTAGTATCGCTCGTCGTTCCCTTTGACATCTCTCCACACGCAGCAGCTTTATTTATCTCGTGGGCTTTACTAACGGTTTGCAAACAGCGTTATGGTGCGTTACCGCCACCAGCTGGTAAATCGTGTGGACAGGTCAACTAAAAATATTTAAATAAATAAATAAATGGGGAAAAACAACTATATACAATGGACCTTCCTGCTCCTGTATCTCCAAACTGCTCAGCAGAGATGACCATGAAGTGGTATCTGCACTGTGGTATCAGAACATTTTTATAAGTATTAGTACTAGGGATGCACGATATTGGATTTTTGGCCGATATCCGATACAAATACTGATTTTTTTTCTTTCCCCTAGACCTGCTTACAGAGACTACATAGCTCTTTCTCTGCTGTGGAATTAAAATACATTATTCTGCATGGTCTTTGTCAATTTGACCTGTTAGCAAATGCAGATGCCAAAAAAGGGGCTGAAAATGATTAAATATATAATGTAAAAAAAACAACGCCTTTTATATCGGTGAGTTATTTTAATGGAATGTCCGATATTTAACTTTATCGCTAATATCAGCCGATACGATACCATGCCGATAATATTGTGCATCCCTAATTAGTACACACACAAGGTACTGGTATCAGGAACAGTGCATCCCTGTCAAAGAACACTTCAACAAGTCCTCTGCTTCTCTGCACATAAACAACTGTACGTTCTGTGTAGATGTATGTGTCTTTGTGAGTTTAATAAGATTCTGTTGTCGTCAGATTTAATCTCTCAACGCAGTTCCTGCTGAGACGCCAAATGAACGGAAGCTCACAACAACTTCTCACCTGCGTTTGTCCCACCACACCGCAGCCAGGTCCCTGCTCTGCAGCGCGGCCATGATGACGTTCACGTCGTAGTTTCCTGTGCCCAGCACCGAGCGGTGGGGGTTCACCACGCACTGTGGGGCCAGCCTGCGAACAGCCAACAGCGCCGTGTTTTCAAAGGAGAATCCGCAGCAGATCCACCTTACTGTTGATCCTCATCTTGTCCAGAACGCTTTGAAATTAGCTTTTTGAGTACAAACATTTTTATATATAATTTTTTTTTTTTTTTAAATACTGGCTCTCTTTGGAATGTTCGTAAAAAGGCACACAGATGACTCACCGTGCCTCGTGTTGAATTAGGCTAATGGCAGACAATGTGGCCTCTTTAGACACAAAGGCTTTGTGTATAAAACTGCACCACTCAAGGCTCTTCTTCCATTCCATAATAGTGACGGTGATTATTTTTGTAAATATTCCTACGTTTACGAGAAGCCTCGGGTTTTGCAAGTGCAGTTTGCCGCATTAGCGTGGGTTTTAAATTCTAGTGTTTTTAGTCTCGTCAACTAACATTTTGCTGTGTTCATCCGATTTTCTTGGCCACCATTATTTCCACAGTTGGTCGGAGTGGGCAAAGCAAACATGACTGGTGATTAGAACGACTCGCGGTAAACTGGATCTGTGTTTATGTTCGTTACGGCCCGCCTTTCATGGCGGCAGCAGTCGAGTTATTACCGTTTGTCTTTATGGTAAGCAAAACCATTAATGAAACTCTCAGAACATAGAACAAGTATCAATAAACTGATTTTCTTTTAGAGAACTCGATACAAGATGGCTGCTACAGCTAATCATCCTTAGCAGCAGAAAATGTTTACAACTCAGTCTGTTCTACAGATACTGAACTCAAATTTGGTACGGTAGTAGCTGAGAGTCATGACCATCACATAGTTTGAGTGTTAATAATAACATTTTTATGTTTTTTGGAATGCAAAACAAAAAGCCACAAACATTACGGCAAGGACTGCTAGTTTCATTTAAAAGGGGCTTGAGACAAACAGTAATGTGACAAAACGCACTTTCTCTCACCAGTTAAAAGCCAAAATGATTTTTCTTTCTCCCAGTTTGTGCTACGTTTAGTTCAGTTTGAATGAAGATGGCTGAAAAAGATACTTTGGTTTCTTCAAGTTGTCCAGAAAGGAATAAAAATGTTATAATTTTGAGCTCAACAAATGTAGGATTTTTCTATCCCAGCGAACAGCTGCGGTAAACAAAACTAAGATCTAAACAGACGAGTGTAACGATGATTAAAATGTCTAAATGAAAATGTGTAAAAGCCAAATATTTTCAGAAGTACATGAATATCTGGCTCCTGGGTTATCATATGTTTTACTTTTCAACTTATGTCTCCAAGTTTAAAATATCAGCAGAACATTTCTCACTTTATTGGCTTTTTTTATCCCTCAGTTCCTCACTTCTAAATAATTGCTCCTTAACACAAACATGAGCTAAAGCCCCACCAGCTGCACGATTATGGTGCACGTCAGACCTAAAGCAGCATTTCACTTAAATTAAATACGTCCACAAACACCAACAAACAGCTCGTCAGGTCCCCTGTTCTGGCACAACACCGGTGTTAAACACGGAACCGTCCCCGTACCGTTTACAGATGTCGTCGGCTGTCTCCTTGGTAAACACCCGCTCCTGGAGCACGTTGTTGAGAGCATGAATGGCACACAGCTCCAACCGTTGCTTCTCGTGAAACACCTCTCCTTCGCTCATACTTAAAAAAAAAAAAAACAGAAGAAGAAGAAGCAGCGTTAAAACGGTTAATAAAACCAGTCAACACACACTCCATCCATTCATGTTAGCTAGCATTAGCTTACTCGTAACCGCGACAACCCGCTGCTTCTACTCTCTGTTTGGCTGCTGACGGTGAGGAAACAGCGACAAAGTGAGCTGCTATCAATCAACAACAGCCCAATAAAGCCACTGACCTGCTGATAAAGCGATTTCCTAAAACGATGCTGGAGTCTGACGGCTACATCCAGAAACCGGAAGTGGAGCCCTTGTTTTTGTTGCGCTGTAGCTGTTTACAGGATTTCACTTGCACGCTACTAAAGCGAAAACTGCCCATTTAAGTCAACGTAACTATCACGTTTTTAAAAAATAAAACTAAACAAACGCATCAAACGACTTGTTTTTCGCGTTTAACACGCAGAGCTGCTACGTTTCCAAGCTGCACAATAGAGGAGGCGCTGTGAAGGTGGCGCCCTCTAGTGGCCAATTTAAAGACCGACGACAAAAAATTACAGCTTTCTGTCATGGACCATGAAAACACGCAAACACATGATTGTCCGGCACTTCACTAAGTGTGTCATTCTAACAGCTGTACAGCAGATCATACTGGTATGAATTCTGCACGGTTCACGTTTTGTTGCAGTTTTTGTACTGAATGAGGTGAATATTTCACTGGTATTTTTCTTCTATTTTTGTAAACAAAAGTGGCACAATAGAAAAAGTTAAATCATGTCATCTGGACCAGTTTGTTTAGGTGAGAAACGTTTCGTCCCCCATCCAGAGGATGGCACAATTTTTCTCTTGATTTTAAATAGAAAAATATGAAGTGTATGGGTCAGATCTGCCCCTCACTCATCCTAATGAGGCACTCTCATAAACTTTACCAACACAGAGACCAGTTATTCATGCCTCTAATTAGTACCTCACAGAAACACTTTTTCCCTCTTTTTTAAGTGTCATTTTTCAGTATGAAATCCTTTTCTATTTTTGAAAGAGTCTTGTTTTTGAATTATTTTTAAATGAGGGGTTAAAAAGCTTAGAATCTGTCACTTTTCTCTTTGATTGAAGAAATGTTCTCATGCGAGAAGCAAAACATCTTCAGAAACGATACAGTCCAGTTATTTTTGATTCAACTTACAGGATTAAAACACTTTGCTTTCTCTATGTTGACAATTATTATAATTTTTAAAGTAATCTTATAAACATCTCTTCAGCAGTGGAAGTAATGAATGCACTTATAAATGATTTAAAAAAAAAATATATATATATATATATATATATATATACTGTATATATATTCCTAGCAGCATGAATGCGTGGACCGGCTTTAATAAACATACTAAAATCTTTGGGGCTGAATATGACTTTTCAAGAATAAATTAAATGGCTAACTAACTAACAGTAAATGTAACCATAATAAAGAGATTTTATGAGATCTAATTACTGGATCTACTCCTTTTTTCCCCCTATCATGTGTTGTGTGTGGCATGCCATTGTGACATGTAATTAATCCACAGCTGTGTCTAAACTATAAATATAATAGCGTTCATTCAAGTCATAAAGACATTGGTCAAAATAAAAAGTGAGCGGCCATTTTAACATTGAACAGACTGAAAATGTTTTGCAAACAAAAGTAAAACACTTCAGATATCCAGAAGGACTTTTTTCATTCAACAATACCTTCCAGATGTGGCAAATGTCCCTTTTATGTTGTTGTTGTTTTAATTGAGTGTTTAGCTCCCAATTTTCAAAAATGCATCCTTTATTTAAAAAAAAAAAATAATGAATCAGAAGTCTTACTAAAGCAAAACATGTTTTAGATATGTTTAACGCATTTGCTAGAAGATATAGTTTTTATTTAATGTTTTACGTAAAACTGGTATCTCCTCAAGTCCAAAGTTAGTGGTGGATTTTTGTGTTTATATTGCTACTAGTCATATTTCCACTTACTGGACTCTAAAATTGATTTTTAACTTGTCACAATATGATTAGTGTTTGTCCCTCATGACTTTGTTTATTTTTATTTATTTTATCAATTATGGTATGTCTTTAGATATTTAACAATATATCAGATACATCTGGTATAATGTTTATTGTAGTATATAATTGTAGTCAAAGGTTTTTCTAATAAGATATAGTAAAAGATCTACTTTGGGAGTGGTGGTGCAGAGGTTAGATGAGGTGGGCCTGTGATCAGAAGGTTGCTGGTTCTTCTCCCCGGACCGACAACATGAAATTGTGGGTGGGATAGGTAAAACACCCACACCTGCCTCCACCCTCATTTCCTCACTCTGGGCTCTTGAGCAAGGCTTTTAACCCCCCACCATCTGCTCCTCTCGGCACCCTAGATAGCAGCTCTCTGCTCCACACAGAGGGCTGTGGTAGCTCGGTGGTCGTGGTTGTGTCAGGAAGGACACCCGGCGTTTAAACAATTACCAAGTCTTCATGCGAGTTAGTTCACTGTGGCGACCCCTGAAGAAGGGAGCAGCCAACAGAAGAAGTGGTGATTATCTGAAATGATGGGTAACTAGTACAAGGCATTCTGTGTTATCAGAATTGTTGTTATGAATATCTGCTTTAAAGTACTCACAAATAAATGTGACATTGTCTTGCCTTAAAGGAATAACTTAAAGTTATGCAGCATTTGGAGAGAGAAGCATGGGTTTATTTCCGAGTAGAGAAAATAACATGTGAAAGTGTTTATAGAATATTTACATATTAACTAGATTAATAACAAATGTAAACAATCACTTGCTCATTAATAACTCAAGAACTATTCATTTAACCACAACATTGTTGCTTGGGAATAAAATAACATGTTTTAGTTGGTAATTAACTGAACTGAAGGTTAAGAACCTATTAAGCGCCTCCAAGGTGCGCTGGTATATAAATGGAGCGGATCCAGTATTGATCACACGTCTAAGTTTTTTTCAAAAGGACCAATAGTTGATAAGTATCAGCCACATTTATGACTCTGTGTGGCTGATTGGGCTTCGGACCCTGACGCAACATAAAAAGCTGTGCTGTGATTGGTTGATTTGTCGAAAACGCGTTACGTCACCAAAGCGCCGATTGGTCGCTGGTTTTAGCTTAAATTGTAGAACGTATTTTTGTTTCTGTGTAAAGAAAGACAACAACCAGTGAAATAGAGATAAGTTTTAATCCACGATTTCTGTTTTCTTTTCAGTCATAAACGGAAAACATTTTTTTTTTAATATCTGACAGTGTTCAGACATTTTGTCGCTTTTTAGATCGCCTTTTCGAAGATGGTAAGACAGAGCTAAATGCTAACAGCTAACGGTTGCTAGTTTGAGCTGACGCTTAGCCGTCGAAAGCTTTTTTTTCCCTTTTCATTTGGTTTGTGATTAATATTTTTTTCGATATTCTGTTGTTAATCGAGACATAACGTGTAATTTATTCACTTAATAACTTCTTCTCTGACGACAAGCGCTGTATATCAAAAGCAGCAAACATCAAGTAAAGCTAGGATTGTGATGCTAAGCCAGTGCAACATAAATTAACTTTAAATATCGGCTCTTTAAACCGACATTTAACCTTTTAAAGAAGAGTAGTAACGTCGTCCGGGTCTTAAATGCAAAGTAAAAGTTGACTTGCTTCCATTTAAAACTGTATCAAACCATTTAAAACTTAATCCTAAATGGTTTTGTTCGAGTCATATTAGTTTGAATAAAACGAGAAGCAGGAACTGGTTCAGCAGCTTTAAGCTACTTGTGTGAGAGATGATGGGTAGATCATCGAGAAGGAAACGAGTTTGATAAAACAATGCTGGTTTGATTTTCATCATGATGATCCCTGTATCATAAAATGCTTAAACGTTTAAAAACTTCAGCCGAACTGTCATTATTAACTTGGCAGTATGTCAAATTTACATAGAACGTGTGATTAATGCGTTGTTTTTTACTGAGTACTTGATTTATTTTAACCATTGGGTGGCATAATCTAGAAAGTAACACAAAAGTTTCTCAAAAGAGCCAAACCAGCTTACTTTGTGCTATTATCCACATAAAAGTGACTGGTTAGTACCTTTTTTTAAATTACTGGTAATCAGACTTTTAATGTCGTTCTGTCTGGAACAGATCCGTCTTGTAAATGAGTCTAGCCTGTGTAAATAAAGGGTGAATGAATCAATGAATAATGTTTTAAGAAGCCTTGTGGTTTCAATCAAACACGCTCAAAATATCTTTCTTTTTGTTGGAAGTTCAGCTGAAGTAGACCTGTGTTAGTACATAACTACTTTCTGTGTTAATCTGTTGTTCCTCATTATTTATTTATTTTTTAATTTAGAACTCTAATGTGGAAAATTTGCCCCCTCACGTTCTGCGCTTGGTCTACAAAGAGGTTTCCGCTTTAGCAGCCGACCCGCCCGAGGGCATCAAGATTTATCCCAGTGAGGAAGACATAACCGAACTGCACACGTCCATCGAAGGACCAGGTGAGTGTCCAGCTGACGCCGGCTGAAACGAGGCAGTAATTTCAGTACAGATAAATTCCCAAAAAACAACTTACTTCCCTGTTTTCAGGTAGTCTGTTAGCTGCCCAAGCCTAAATGTGGAAATGTACCACTAGCTGGTTCTTGTTTTACTTGTTTTTGAAAAGCCGCTCTTTTCAAATTGAATTATTTCTAATAAAGACTTGGAAAAATTATACTAAAGTAGTAAATCTTGTGTCTTACGAGGCACCTGAACCACACAGCGTGTTGACTTGTTTGTTAAATTGAACTTTTAACTCTTTTGGCAACATATATTGTGTGTTTGCTACTAATATTAACAGGATTCTTCCTGGTTCTTTGATTGGCTCCGTTGCAGCTCCGTCATGTTCCTCTTTTATTTTTCACCATTTTGTTACGGATCGGGTCAGGCACAGTTAGAACAAACCGTTTCATGCGATGAATTCTTCATCCTTTGACAGAGGGAACTCCGTTTGCTGGTGGCATTTTCCGAATGCGCCTGGTCCTCGGGAAGGACTTCCCTGCTGTTCCACCCAAGGGGTATTTCCTGACGAAGATTTTTCACCCCAACGTGGGTCACAAGGGAGAGATCTGTGTCAACGTGCTGAAGAGGGACTGGAAGGCAGAACTCGGCCTCAGACATGTCTTACTTGTAAGATTGCCTCTCGGTTTTTCTTCCTTCTGAGCTCGGTCTCTCTTGTTGTTGTGATTATACAAGTTTCTGTCTTTTTCTTTCTTTTTCCAAAAGACCATCAAGTGTCTTCTCATCCATCCAAACCCAGAATCGGCTCTGAACGAAGAAGCTGGGCGCTTGCTTTTAGAGGATTATGCAGAATACGAGTCCCGCGCCCGTCTTCTGACAGAAATCCACGCTATGGGTGGGCCGGGTGGCACCTCCGGGGCACCCCAGGACCCTAATGATGGCCCACAGCCGAAGAAGCACGCGGGTGACCCTACGAAGAGAGCGGGCCCCAGCGCAGCAGCCGTCCCAGCAGCTCTGGGTAACGGAGCTAACGGAGCCAGCAGCAGTAACAGTAGCAGCATTAATAACGTAGCAGGGAAGAAGAAAGCCGATAAAAAGCGTGCGTTGAGGCGACTTTAACACCTCAACCAAATTAGTGTGTGAGTGCGAGCGTGAGTGTAAATATAAATATTGCATTTTTGTTTCTTTTCTGACTCTCCTCTCAGAGTCCAGATTGTTCACTTTGTACCTTTTTTTTTGTTTGACCTCCAGTTGAGCTCTTCCTGTTTGCATTACAGGTTTGTTAATTCCATACCTGAAAACATGAAAAGTATCCGCTCCTCTTCAAAGAGGAAATCATGCCATCGCTTGTATTTTTCCTGTTGTCCAGTTGTGATCGACTCACGCAGCTTCCACCGTGCGAAACACTGCATCCGATGTCTGCTGAAGATGGATGATTTCTGTCGTTTTGAACTTTTTCAGCAGACGTTCCTGCAGCTGTGATGGTACCGTGTACCGCACAGCCCGCCTTGCTCTTAAGTCTGAACCGGATCAAATCCAAATCAGGTTTTCAAATTGTGCTCCAGACAAGTTCAGGGTTCACCATTCGGAGTCAAACATTGCTGTTGTGCAGAGGTGGCAATCTTTTGTAAACTGTATTTTTTTATATTAGAATCTAAATGTAGTAAAGGTATGGAGTAATTGAAGTCTGTCTTTATTTATTTTTTTCCTAAAATTGATTTTTTTTTTGTTTGTTTGGTCGTATTGTATTCTAACCTGTTCACTTTCAGCCATCCTGAGCTTTAAGAGCAGCTGCTGGAAGGGAACAGGGAAGATTGGCAGATGCTTTTAAAAAAAATGAAAACACACACACAAAAATCTTGTCTGTTTTTTTTGTATAACACACAATGTGACGTGACTCGCTTCTGCCACCATGCTCCGAAAAAGCACGGGTAGTGGAAAAAGCATCCATGTGTGTCCAACCATCACCAGGGGCAGGGCTTCATTGTTCTAAAAGCATGCAAAGCCTGAATAATAATAATTGAAAAGGTGCCTCTGGAACTCCTGTGATATTTTCTGTCACTTTTAAATTATTTACATTAATAAAACGTTGAAGCACAAGAGGCAAAGAGAAAACGTGGAGTCGTAGTTCCTGTTTGATTTGATGCTTTCTTTTAAATTTCTTTTAATTACATAATCCTGTGGGTGATGCCTTCACTGTCCGGTGATATAAAAATTGTTTTGTTTAGAGCCGTCTCCTCTGATGGAACAATCATTACTCGGAGACGACTAATTGCATCCACCCCAGCAGAGGCAGTGATGGAAAGTGCACCGCAGAGCGTCATGAAGGGCTCCTCTGGCCTCTGCAGCAGCCCACCCACCTGGGTAGAAATAGCAGCCTGCCATGCAGGTAATTACCAGGGCCTTCTCAGACACCTGGGCCTCCATCCCCCCTAAACATTCCCTAAAAAACTCAAAGGGCTCACCTGAGACCTTCTCTTCGAGTAATTTCCCCATTTTAATGCCCTCCCTTTGACTTCATGATTCATCACAGGGTTTTCACAGAATCTATAGTCCACGTGGCTGTGAGGCTCGTGATGAAGCAGGTGAATTAACCGCGTTGCATCTTGGGAATCTCGTGTTAACTCATTTTTTTATTTTATTTTGAATTTCTTTGTCCTAAATGAGTGAACCGTCAGAGCAGGTCTGGGTCTAATTGACAGTTTCGTTGTCGCTCCTGTGTTGAAGCTTTTTGCCCCCCCCCGGGGTTTTCATCGCTTTCATAATTGCCACCAACATAATGACAGTTGCTGTGGCAACCGTGTCTCTTCTCTTCTGCCCGCTCGCTCGCGCGCACAGAACGAAAACTACCGTAATGCTTGGACTATTCGCGCTTCTCCGCTTGAAATTTCACCCGTTTTAAGTGAAGTTGCGCCACTTAAAGGTGCGTTTTTGTCTTAATTGAAGTTGGTTTTTTTGTTGTTTTTTTTTGCACTTTAAGAAGGGAGTTAAAGGTTGTGTATGTGGGGGGAGTGGTGGTGGGGAGACGGTGGTCGCCACCAGTTGAATGGGCCCAGTTTGACGGTCAGCAGCGGCGGCGCAGAGGCTCATCTCTGACGGACCAATCACAGCGCTCCCCCCGCTGGCGGACCTCCGTGAGGCCGGGCGCAGCCTCTAGTCCTCCCGAAGAACCGAGCCAGCTCCGTCTCAAGAAACTTCTCCCAGCTCTTTCCTCCTAACTTGACGGAAATTTCCGACGAAGCATTTATTTATTTATTTATTGATTTGTTTGGTTGACACGAGGATCTCGGCAGCACGCTGACTCGCGCAGTCCGTGACATTTTTCTTGCGCCTGTGATGGAGCGTCTTGTGTTCCGCAGCCGAGGCTCGTCTGTTGCAGTCTGTAGTTGTTGTTAGGAGCTGTTCGACAGCCGCTCCAGAACCAGCGCTCGGTCCAGTCGGTGCGCAGCCTCTCCGCATCCGAACCGCACAGAGCAGCGCGCAGGTAAGACACGACACCACGCACCTCTCTTTTTAAAAAATATATATTTGTTAACGCAACACCGCTCGATACTTTTAATTGTGCGTTTATGTGCGATAAAAATGTGACAGAGAGAGGGGGGGGGGGGGGGGCTAAAGGTGCGGGGGTGTATCCGTACCTGTGTGTGTGCGCCATCG